CTTGTACGGACTGTCCATAAGTTATAAGGATTTACATCATTTTGCAGGTATACGGACATGTAGGGCAATCTCACCGATTTTTTTCAAGTCTTACGGATTTTTTCAAAACCTTATTTTCAAAATTATCCAACATGTCAGAGCCTTTAGGATGATTAAAAAAAAACAATAACTAATCTTCCAACCTGTTCTGCTGGTAGAATTAAGTTTTGAACTTTTTCCGCTCTCCTTTCCCCCGGAGCAGGACGACGAGTCAGTGCCACGTCAATCAAATGAGAGAGAGGGTGGGGGCAATTGCTGCATTGGGGGGGAGAAAATTTTTTTATGGGTGGAGTAGTTTATTTTTCCTGTAATACTTCATTATAGAGTTTTAAGACAAAGCTAATTGAAAGGGGCGCTGAGCAGAGTTACAACCAGGGATTACAAATATTTTTTTCTTCTGCAGTTCAGCGCCCCCTCCAGCAGATGGCGCTCTAAGCGGCCGCCTAGTTCGCCTATGCCAAGAGCCGGCTCTGTCAGCACGTATAAAAGATTCAGGATGCCAGTGACTCAGCAGAAACCATCAAGTGCACACACACACACTCACAGGACCTGCACTGCCTCAGAGCTGACTACACAAAACACACCAGCTCTGCAGGAATTAGACGTGTCCAGTTGCACACACACATTTAAAAAAACACAACTGTAGGAGGAAATAACACTTCTGTGTTGCATCTGTAGATGTTAAAGTTCCAGTCTGACGGGATGAGACGAGAAAGGAGAACACAGCAGGGAAGAGTCAGACAGAGGATGGAGAGCATCGGGGATAAAAATAGCAGATTGAGACAAACAGGACAAATGGATAAGCTGAGGGAGGGCGGGGGGCTTTGATGACAAACAAAATAAGGTTTTAGGAGTTAACCAATGCTGCTCTGCCAAATACAATAAACCTGTGAAGAAGAAATCGGTTCGATTAAGGATTTTTCTGGGGTTTTGTATTACCAACATAAAATATTGGTATTAAAGAGATGAGAAACTGCTAAAAAGTAAAAATATTTCCTCATAAAGCTCAGTCATTCATGACTCATCAGCCAATCACTCTTGAAAGAATAAATCTGAAATTTTAGTGGGGAAAAAATTAAACAAGCAACAGAAATTCTAAACTCATTAAATAAGAATAATTAAAAGCTGTGATTTTTTGACTCCTTACAATTAAATAAAATCCTGTCAAAGAAAACTAACAGACGTCTCAGTCCAGCTCCACATTTGTCTCATCAAACCAAACTAAAGCAGCTAAAAAAGCTTAAAAAAATAAAAATGCACCATCACTGATCAGGCAGCCCAACAGACTGCAGCACTAACACACATCTTCATGACTCAGCACTTCCATACAGAGCAGCAGCCAGCTGCATGTCGGGCATTTACTGCTAAATCAAAATGTCCTCTGTTTATCTTTGACATGCAGGAACCTCAGAACTAATCAGACAAATGCAAAAATATAAAAAAAAAACTCACAGCACATTCAGTTTAAATATATCTGCACATTCTGGTCAAATCATTGCAGTGTTTTTCTCAGTAATCCCAACAGATCCTCTTTGGACAGCACAGCCACATTTAGGTCAGATGTATTAAAGCTTTTGAGGGGCTGAACATTGGGCTGCAGGAAGAAAAACAATCAGTGCAACGCTTCTGTTTATTTGTTCAATTAAATCAACTTAGTTTACGTCCAACTGAATCACATGACCAGACTAAATTGTGCCAAAAATGAAAATATTAAAGGAATCACCTTCTGCAGCTAAATCTGATTCTTTTTGATTTAGCTTTGCCAWCTTCTCTTCCTGCAAGTCGCATTTGTTTTAATTAATCTTGCGTTTTAATTTAGCCCAATGATGCTGRTCATTATTATTTTATTAGTTTAAATATTAGGCAAGTATAGAACAAGTTGTTTTACTGCCAGCGCCATCCAGAAGTGACCCTTTCACCTTCTTGTTTCTTGTTTTCAGCTCTAAATGACTCCACCTCACCTTCTAATGACGGAACCAGAGTCTCTGCTCTGCATTGCGACACTCCAGTCAGTACCGGTCCACTTCCACACCGCAGCGCCCCCCAAACCCCACTCAAAAAAGTCTGACACTTAGAGGCGTTCAGGGTCCGGAAAAAGGAGTAATTCTTACCTTTGAGACGACAGGAAAGATTTTCTTATTTTATTTGTTTAGCTGACAGTCATCTCCGCGCACCTGGACCCGAACCGCACCGCCCAAAGCATCCTCCGTCCCGTTCCAGATGGGGGGGAGAACTTTCCTATTGGCTGAGGAGGGAATGAGTGGCTTGTGAAGCCGGCGGTGATGCCGAGGCTCTGATTGGTCCGTGAGAGAGGAAGGAGGCGGGGCGAAGCGCTGTTGCGCATTTCGGGACAGGAAGTGAAGTGAAACAGATTCGGATCAAAGGATGTTGTTAATTATGAGCAGGTTTATTCTAACCAGATTGTAGCRCTCATCTGGTCTCACCTTTAGCTTCATTTCCTGGTTATTAAAAAAAAACAATGAATAAAAAAAACATAAAATATAGCAGGTGGGTTGACACCAGCTCTGCAGGTTTGTTTACTCACCTCCAAACATTAACACAAATATTCAGATTTTTCACACTTGAGATGGCAGGTGATTTGACCTGTGAGGGGGGAAATGAGGAAAGGCAGAGCAGAGGATCACAAGATGATTAAAACCATTATTAGAAAAAGGGATAGACTAATCAGACAACCCAAGTTAACCCTGAAGGAGCAGACCACCTAGAGATGATCACTTCTGTCCACAGGAGCATTGTATTAATGATCTTTTACATCGGACATCCCCAACCAGGGGGGGGGGGGGGGGGGTACACGAGCGTATTACACGGGTATGTGGAAAAATTTCCCAGGTATGTAAGGAAATAAATAAAAATAGGACTGAGATATGTAGGGCCTTTTCAGTACCTTGGACAGTTCCTTCAGCCCTTCACACAGTCTAAAGCAGGGATTCCCAACCAGTGGGGTACACGAGCATATTACAGTGGGTAGGTGGAAACATTTCACAGGTGTGTAAAAAAATAAAATAAAAATAGGACTGAGAAATGTAAGGCCCTATGATTTCTGCAATGCAGAAACTGCAGTCGGAGTCACAGAATTAACACAAAATGGAATCCAGTATAAAATGTGAAATCTCAGAATTTGCTCATTCGAGTGAGTTTTTGACATATTTTGTTCAATATGGACACTGCTGTTTACTGCACCTGCCATTACCTGGTTTATTTATTTAATTACTTATTCACTTTCAAGGCAACGTTTTTATCTTTAATTTGTGAGTTGAAAAAAAAAATAAAATGCTTGAGAATGAAACGTTCTAGGGGGGTTAAATAAATATTTTTCATTTAATAATCAGTTGTAGTACATTATAGTTTTGGAGAATCATTACATTTGACTGAGGGGGTACTAGTGGTCTGGCAAAATGGCTAAGGGGTTAAACAAGTCTAAAAAAGGCTGGGAACCAGTTTAACATGATCAACAATTTGGCCACAAATTTCTGAAATTTGAACAGAATTCTTTAAAGCAGTTTTCAAATTCCAGTCCTCAAGGGCTGCTATCCTGCATGCTTTCCAAACTGTTTGCATGAATGGATGATTGCTGCAGAATTAATGTGTTGGAGCAGGAAAACAAGTTAAACATGCTGCTTAGCTGCCGTTGAAGACCTGAGTTTGACACCTGTGCTGCAAACAAGGGGTTAAAAAAACAACCTTACAAATCAAAACTTATTGTTTGCTCTTTTTTTGCATTACTGTCTGCATAAATATACTACTTTCTTTATAACATATACCTTGTATTTAATATTATCAAGTAATAAACCAAGCAGCTTATAGATATTTTACTTTACTGGATACGTTCTTCAGTTTGAACTCATTTTGCGCTAATTTTAAATTTAAAAAGCAAGAATTCAAACTGTTTAAGTTATTTTAAGAAAATTTCACAATATTTGACTTTTAAAGATCCACATGAAAATAATAATAAAAAAAGTTTTACCACACCTCTGTATTTCTTCTTTGGTGTTATATTTTTTGGACACTAGGTGGCGCCAAACACGTTTCCATGTTTTATGGTGGGCATGAGTCTTTTTTTAAAAAAAAAAAAAAAAGGAAAAAAAAAACAAGATTTGAAATCTCAAAACCAACATTTATTTAATCTTTTTGAACTTAATTTAAAATACAAAATATTTTTGCAATATCATATTGTAGAGTAAACCATTTGACAGCCTTTCATGCTTCTCGTGTAGCTTCAACTTTGACCAGAACGTCATCTCATATATACTGTATTTTCACAAACATTTAGAACATGTCCAGTTTGCACACTGCAACACACCAGTCCACCTCCTACTCAATGCTCCGATGGGTTTCATTTATCTTCCGAGTGCACAAACTCACAAAGATATGCCTTCTTTTCATGCCTAATTTAGGACAACACCCAGAGAGAAGYTGTTCTAAATCAGATGTGTGAATTTCTTTGTGTCTTTTTAATTATAATAATAACAAAAATGTGTATGAACTGTCAAAACAGGTTTCACAAGACAAATAATGTGCTTTTGATACCTGAAACTGTAGGCTAAACAGCTGAAGCAGCAAATTCACCTGACGAGATTAAAACAAAAAATAAAGTAAAATAAAAAAATCACACCAAACTGAAAAGTGAAAACTGGAAATCGCACACAATCTCATTTCGTCACTCCGCACCTCCAATGCATGTGGGGTTGGTTGAGGTCAGGCTCTCGCCTCTGACCTCTACGCTCAAAATCAAGCCAGTATTTACAGGGAAACAAACAAAACATATGTACACATGGTCTGCTAGAACGTCACAACTCTAAAACTTGATGCAAGTTATGATGAGACGAGAGAATATTCTCTAAAAATAAAATAAAACAGGGAAGAAAAACTGCATGTTTAGAAGAGAAACGGACTGCTCGACAAACCTCCACACACGCAGTATACGAGCATGCATGTGCAGCACCCAAACATTCAACTAAGCTCCATTTATCTGCAAAAAAATAGAAGAACTGCTGCTCAGAAAGGGGACGACTCGCAGCAAACTGCAGGAGTGTGAACCAAAAGTCACCAGTGTGTTTTCAGGCCCATGTTTTAGACTAAACATGGCGGTGACGTTGGTTCCCACTGGCAGTTACCTGTGAGCAGGCTGGCAGTTTGATGCTGAGGAGCAGCTCCTCCTCATCAAGGTCACGTTCAGAGGAGAGTAACGATTTTCACCTTTTCATTTTCTTCAACTTGGAACAAAAAAGGTGTAGATTTAGGGTGTTTAGCATGAGACGTTTATGATTGTCAATAAATCCCCAAAAACAACCCATAACTGAAATTAAATCCACCTCTGTTATCCCACTGACCCAAAAGTTTTACCCTCAGCTTAAAAAATAAGACTCCAAGATGCTTTTTGACTTTATTTTCCAACAGTGTAAAGGCTGACGGATTGAAGGGTAAAATAAAACGTGAGACTTAACTGGTTATCTCCCTGGGCTGATAATAACTAACAATCTGAGGGAGTCTCACAGCAAATCCTCACAAATCTTCTGTATCTTAATTTTGAGTCATCCCCTGCACCTGCAGCCAAGATATTCCTTTAAGTTAGCAGTTAGGTCACCCCACGCTGATAACTGCCAGTAAACACTGAATCCTTGGAGAGAACRCTCGGGCTTGGTTAGCAGGGAGCAGTTTGTAATCTGACTGTTTTCTTAATCATCATCATCACCAGTGTAGCTTCAATTCCTGACACAGGCTTTAAAGTTGTTACAAGTCAGGGGTTGGTCTGCGTGTCACATAGTTCTGCGGGGTTTTAGTCCACGTTTGTCTTGGTCAATGTTTTCTGCAAAGGCACTGAAAACCAGGCAGAGGGTTTCGTAATCTAACACATTCTCGAAGTCGGCGTGATGTCATCCGTCACGTTATTTTTAAAAAAAAATTTCTGTAGGGAGGAAAACAGTTATAAACAGTTGTTGGCAAGTAATGTAAAATAATTTGTGTATCACAGATAACTACTCAGATATTTAAGAATGTTGTACGAATGAACAACAGCAATGTAATATCACATGACTGATTTAAATCACTGTGGCTGGAAAAAAACAGCCTCTCTCAGACTTTGTTGCAATTTTTTGTCAAATAAGTTCTTAAATTGTGTTGATAAACCATGTCAAATTGGAGTTATAATAAATAAGCACCTTTCTATCTAACCAGGATACACCAATCTGTTCCTTCGTTAGCCATCCACACAGCACTCTGCCAAATAAACCAAATAAATATAAACCCCCTATCTCATTTCTGACCAAGGCCTAAAGTTATTTGTCAAGCCCCAAAAGATCTACAGGAATTAGAAAATAAAAAAAAGACAAAAGTTGAATGAAGTTTGGCAGAGTTGGAGAGACAGAGAGAGTATGACTGAATTAGATTTATGTTATTTAGAGCAGAGGTTCTCAAACGTCCCAGGACGTCCACGAGAGGTATCTTGGAGGGGGGTCCTCAAAAAATTTCACTAATTTGTTACTTTAGATTATTTTTAAAAATGCATGGAGAACAATGAACTATTAAAACAAACATAATAAACTTAATAAGAATATACATTCCCATAGCATTTATGGCCTGAAATGACAATAAATTATCTTTTAAAAACAGCACAGGGTTTATGAGGGGATCCCTGGAATTTTTTCGCCCTTGTAAGGGGTCCCCAGACCCAAATGGCTTGAGAACCCCTGATTTAGAGTGTTTGGATTTTATTGCCAGGGTGTAGTTTAGAGTGTTTAGTCTTTAGTCAGTTTTAGTGAGATTGACATTTTTGAACGTTCCCATTTTCCCCCAAACCAATATGTCAGCCTCCGTCTACAACCTGTAAATTACCCAGCTGTCCGACTTCGAGTATAAAATCCCAACACCACCACAGAACCTCTCAGTGACCCTCCTACTCTGTCAGAAAACCAGTGAAAACTAATGTAGAGATGAGATAATTGTGACAATGACTCACGGTGGAAGCACTCAACAGTGATGTCAGATCAATAAAACGATTAAAGAAATGAAACAAATCGGCCAACCGCACCTTGAGTTTTGGCGCACAGGCTGGCTGAGACGGTGCTTCTTTATCCCCCTCTCTCTTCCCGGCACTCCAACTGAACAAACCTAACCAGGTGTTACACCATATTTTGTGACCATCATAWATTGTGACCAGAGGGGGCGCTGTTGCGTTTCTACAACAGAACTTGGCCAAAAATAGCCACAAAGAAGAATATGATACGCCAAAAGCGTAACCCAGAGGTCACAAAACATGACAACTGTTGTCATATATTGTGACTTCACTGTAGCTTGGTAAATAATAAAAATATTTATACATAAACTGATTCTACTCATTGTATACATCCTCTAATGTCAGAAAAATAACTTCTGATCACTGCCATGTTGACTATTACAATTACTACTACTATTATTACTACTATAGGTGATAATAGCTATCATATTAAGTGAGCCTGTACTAATTTAATAACAGTCACCATGTCAGTGATCAAAAGTTATTTTTCTGACACTAGAGGATGTAAACAATTAGTATAAATAAAGTTTTTCTATTTCGTTAGCTACAGTGAAGTCACAATATATGACAGCTATCATATTCTGTGACAATGTACTGTATAATAACAACAGTCAACAGTTTTTTTTTCTTCGTATGTCTTCAGTCTCTGGCTTACACTGTTGGCGTATCATATTCTTCTCTGTGGCCATGTTCGGCCAAGTCCTGTTGTAGAAACGCAACAGCGCCCCCTCTGGTCACAATATATGAGGGTGACAAAATATGGTGTAACACCGGAACTACGGCTCCCCTCTCTCTCTGTATGTACAAACAGTCCCTCTGTTCCGTTTGAAAAGAAACAAGCGTCTGCATCGAGTCGTCGAAAAAAAAGACGTTGCTGCCATTCCCCCCCCCACAAACGCGGCACATAACACTTCCGGAAAACAAGTCGAACAAAAGGCCAGTGGCTTGTGCACCAAACACCGTGGAAAACAGCTGCAAAAAACTGACGAGGTTGTAAAATGCGTAACAGACTCATGAGTTGCTCCATGCAGGTGCTGTAAATGTGACTGGATGCATATTAGCCTGCCAGCGGGTCATGTAGAGTACTTTCTTTAAAATATATAAATATTTGATACATCATATTTAGGGGGTTAAATGGCACTAACACATAATTGGCCGCACTCGTGCTCAGTCTGAGTGGTAAAAGCCTTCCGGTACATTCTATATTGCTTGCTTTCCTTTTCTCCATGTGTCCCTTTTTTTTTTCTTTTAACGGTTATTTGGGGGGTGGGGTTCGGGAGGTCACAGTGTGACTGAAGGGGGTGGAGATGACGACATGTCAGCAGTCTAGAGAGGTAGCCTTGGCCACCAGAACGACAGCCGCCAAGTGGTGAACGTGGGTGTCCGTCGACGAGTCAACGACTGTCACCAGGCTGAAGCCCTTTTCGTTAAACGAAGGAGTTCATGGCGTTGACGGGCGACGGGGCCTCCGAGCTCTCGTTGCCTTCGTGCGTGTCCTTCTCCTTCTTGCCGCTGTACTGGCCGATGAAGGAGCCGTCCTCGTTGAACTGCCCGTCCCCGCCCTCCCCGTAGTCCACTAAACTGTCGTCGCTCTCGTCGCGGCGCACCGTCCCGTTGGACGGCGTCCGGCTGCCCTTCAGCGGCTTGTGGTCCTCCGTGTCGCTGTAGGAGGAAGATGAATGAGGGAGGGAGGGGGGAGTCACTAAAGGCAGTCAGCTGAGGCTGATCTGGCTTCTCCACTGCACAAGTCATGGTGAAACACAGCTTACGTTTAAAAGAAAAGCATAAATATGTGCAGAAGGTTTAGCATTAGAAGCTAACTTCATGCTACTTGTACAGTGGAGCAGCTCGAACTTTTAAAGGGATCCATGATTAGTTGTAACATTAGACTTTATTTAATAAACATATATTTTAACTGTAAAATAAAGACTGTAAAAATACTGTAGGATGTTCAGTTTTTATCATTTTTAAACTAAATTTTAAAAATATATTTTAACACGGATGGGGTCATTTTATTTACATGCAAAGCATTCTGGGTAAATGATGACATGGATAGGTCCTCGGTGCGAGGCTGCTAGCRAGCTATATCCACCCTGAAGGTTAATCTTGGACAATATCTGATGATCGACACTTTTAAATGAAACCAGAGAGCGTTGACAGAGAGGAGAAGGTAGGAGGACAACAGAGCTGCTTCATGGAAGAAGAACCTCAGCTTAGCCTGTTAGCTTTAGCATTAGCCCAGACGCCATCACCATATATATGTATTAGCTCAGTGCTACACATTCTCCTCTCGTCACTGAGGTCCTCCATCCACATGACAGAGAGGAGAACGCAAACATGATTCAGCTGCAACTGAAAGTATGGATGGAGGACCTCAGTTTAGCTTGTTTTTCGCGCTAGCGCTGAGCTAATACATATAAGGCAATATAGAGTCGGCGCTAGCACGAAGGCTAACAGGCTAAACTGAGGTTCTTCTTCCATGAAGCAGCTCTGTTGTCCTCCATCCATATTTTCAGTTACAGGCTGAGTTATTTCTACCTTCTCCTCTCTGTCAACGCTCTCTGGTTTCATTTAAAAGAGTCGATCATCAGATGTTGTCCAAGATTAACCTTCAGGGTGGATATAGCTCGCTCACACCGAGGACCTATCCATGTCATCATTTACCCAGAATGCTTTGCATGTAAATAAAATGGCTCTGTCCGTGTTAAAATGTATTTTAAAAAAAACTAGTCTACAGTATTTTTACAGTCTTTATTTTACAGTTAAAATAAATGTTTATCAAATAAAGTCTAATGTTACAACTAATCATGGATCCCATTAAAGTGTGCACAGAAAGAATGCTGCAAATGCGTGCTGCTCAGCCTGCAGTACCTGCAGCAGAACACATTCAGTCAGTATGCTTGCAGGTTACATGCAGTAATACAAAATGCAATCCAAAAAGTCACGGCTTCATTCTTTTATCAAGCTAAGATTTGTGGCAGATTATCTTAATCTCTGCTACTTGATGCAACGTTGTCATGATGATGTTAGACTGCGACTCTACTATCAATGGATTTTTAGTTTTGATGAACAACTAAACCTGTCTAATGAAATGTTTAATGAAAGAAGTCAAATATAATATGAGTTTTGGGTTTACTATTTCACAACAACTTACAGCATTTACACTTGGTATTAATAGAAGTGGACAGTGTGCACACTGATATACTCTAAACCAGGATTTGGAGAATAGTTAGTACATCTTCTAAAAGTCTCCTTCAACAGTGACATGCAGTCACTTTGAGGTAGTTGAATTCTTTGCTTGAGCCAGAACCCAACTCTAAGAGGAGTTTTTTTTTACACTTTTCTGTTCAAGAGCCACAGGCTGTCTCAATTCATGGGCTGCATCCTCATGAGTCCATAGCCCACATGGGCCACATCCTCCCCAGTCTGGGTAGGCTGCATGAAACTGCTGTGAAACGAGACGGTCTAGCCTTTGCTTGATGTCGGCTTGATGAAAGTTTGTGTGACCACGCGCTACCCCATTACCGTCGTGATCAGTTTCATATCAGACATAAAATGTGTTGGGACATTTATTCACTGGAAGAATAACTTCACAATTAAACTGTTACATGTAAATTAATTAAAAATAATAATAAATTTGGTTTAGCTCCATTAACTACTTATATAGTTGCATTTTATTTAACATCTTATCGCAGCGTTAATTTCATCAGCTAAGTTGCTAAACTTACATTTAAAAACAAACACTTTGGTCCGTGATGAATTTACAAACTACGCTGATTTGGTTAAAAAAATTAAAAGTCCACCGTGTTCGTTTCTCTGTTTAGTTTGCTGTTGGTGCCATATTTTAATTTAAAATGTATTCTTTTCTCTCGCTTCGTCCGCCATTACTAGCATAAAAAAATCTCCGTTTGGGCCGCAATGCATTATGGTATACGCTGGGCCGGGAAGGATCCATCAGACCAGTCCTTCGATTGGGGCCAAAGGAAGGACGCATTTGTTGGCCGCATCGGAGGAGTCTTTGGTTTTGGACGGTCTTCGTCGCAGCGCTGTGACGTATGTGGCCGACAAATTCGGCCTTCGGAGGACCCGGCCCACCGTTTTGGACACATCCTTAGAATTGGGACAGCGCTCGGCGCGGGGCTGTCATGTATGCAGCTGATAAATGCGTACTCATGAGGATGCAGCCCGTGAATCGAGACACAGCGACAGCCTTGGACTTAAATAGACTCTCGTCCCAGCTTAGGTGCGCACAACGATAGCACCTTCATTCTTCATAACTACACTTGAAGCTCCCTTTAATAAACACCACTGAATCTGTGACAAAAAGCAAGCCTGGTAAAGTTTAAACTGCACCGGGAAAAAGCTCAACTTTGAGCTTACACCCTGGACRGGTCACAAGTCCATCACAGAGGGGCTTAACAATAGAGCCACAACCGTTTATTAGTTTAAATGTAAATGTGACCCTCCACTTGTGACATGTTAATACCAGGTGTAAACCACATCTCTGTAGATCACATACAGGTTTTGTCTCAGCGTTTAGTCCCACTACTGTTAGAAAGAGCCTACAAAGCATTTATTTTAAAAGGGTTGCGTGGAATGCATGCTGGATTGTACCGCTTCTTGTCTTACCTCTCCATTGACCTAAACTCCCCGAGCAGAAAGGATATATAAAAAAAATGGAAGTTCATATGAAAATAAGTTCATGAGCCAAATGAATGTCTTTGTATTTTTTAAGACACAGACAGAAATACTTTAAAAAATAAAGCATGAAAATGGAAGAAAATTAAACTCACATTAAAATATACAGCAGCCTTCTTTGATTGATTTTTCTAAAAGTATAATCATATCACACATTATCATRACTGAACTAATAACTCTTAATTATGTTTTTCAGCTAATGGTCAGTGTTCTCAGAAAAAACTTAAAATAAAGTGTTAAAACTTGAAATATTTGTGTTTTACTAAGCTTTAGGGGAGTTAGTATTAGAGTAGTTTAGATGTTGCCTTGCCTCTATGCAGTATTTACATATGGAGTCTGGTAAGGAGAATGTCTCTGCAGTCTGGTACCAAGTTTTTACACATAAATAGCAAAATATGGAGGAAAAAGAAAAGGGGAAAAAAATTACAACTACTGTTTGTTTTTATTTTAGCCACGCAAATCTTTTTATATTTCTCATCATCTCTCACCTGTACTCCCCAAACGTTCCATCATCCTCCTTCATAGGCTGGATCTCAGGGTCTTGGTGAGCATCTTCTTTCTCTTTCACTGGAGATTCCACACAAGGTTTTCATTTCAAACTGCTGCCCATCCCACGTCACCGAGCTCTCAACACAACAAACAATYGTCTGTACCTGGGTATTTGCCACCTTTGTTCCTCTTGATGAAGCAAACGATGAGAAGCACGAGGATGAGGAGAGCGATGGCGCACATCAGGCCGATGAACCAGCCCTGCGTGGCGATGTCGATCTGACGGTTGGGAACCGCTGGGAGGAGACGGCAGAAACGTCAGTCCAGATTTTGATTTAGGTTGATAACAATGACGTTTGTTGTCATCATGCAGAGCAACACTAAGGTTAGGAGAATCTGAAAACACTTAATGGGATGTTAAAATGACTTAAAGCAATGAAAATTTAAAAAAATAGTTGAAATAATAAAATAAAATAATGATCCATGAAGTGATGATATTACGAGACGACCACTTTGACTCTTCTGGGACACTTTTTACCTTAAATGTAACTTGTAATTAAAAAAGTGATATAGTTAATGTGTGTAAGCTTTTTAATTTCAGCTTTACCTTAAAAAATCTACTTTTCAACTTTCTCTTAAAAATATATATTTTTTTAATCTTTTGAAACTAATTTGTGAGAAATGCAACACAGATTCCAAAGTATATGTACTGTAAGGTTTTTAATGTGGGTAAATATAATCTAATTTTTTAAAAAAAAGTATATATTTAACTCCTTAACAGCTGCCCCTGAAATTCTTTAAAAGCTTTTTGAGATTTTTTATTTTTGTAATGGTGTCAAACTAAAGGTAAGAACCAGGGATAGTTGTCTGACGCCATAGTTTTCAAATTAAAAGCCCCCAGTAGCATCTGGAAATGTTTAAAGATAGTAACTTCAAAATGTTTTCCCAAAATCCAACTTTAAGCTATTAAACCTACATAAATGATGTTCTCTAAGCCAAATAAAGATAATTGGGTAATTAGTGGTCTTGTTTTTTTCCCATTAAATTTAAAAATCATCACTTGAAATAAAAACAAAATAATAAAAAAAATAAGTTGAGGACAACTGATTTACACAAAATGACTCAATGAAACAACCATCTGGGTGCAACAGTGGCCTTCTAATGATGAGACGAAACCAACGAACATAAAACTGGCAAAACAAACAAATAAAACACTAAAAGAGCATCTACGCTGAGGCATGCCGCCTCACCTGGCACCGTAACCAGCACTTCGTTTGTCCTGTGGAGCGCCACGTCCGCTCCGTCTCTAGCTACCACACGCACCCTATAGGACGTCCCCGGCTTTAAACCTTTTATCGTATGCGAGTGCGTACCGTTTACCACCTCCCTTTTCCAGTCCTCTTCACCTAGAGTTGGTGCAGCGGATGAGGAGGGATTAGAAAAGAAGCAGCCTCTTTCATAATCTGGCATTTAAACAGCTGTTTGAATTGGCGTGCGCTGGTAATTCTGGAGCCTTACTGTTTTCTACATTATATTCCACAAATAAATTCTTTTGGAGTCCGAAGTATTCCCAACTGATCACTGCGCCTCCCTCAATCCCAGATGAGTTAACCCTGCCGAACACAGGGCCGACAGGAGGCACTGAGCGCAAACAAAAGGGACAGGAAACAGTTCAAAATACAAATAAAATTGCAACTTTACAGAAATCTGACTCAGTGAACAACTTTAATCTGGATAAAATCATTTTTTCTTATCCTATTTATCTTTCTGACACTATATGGAAAACAACACTGTTACTATATTTACTGCAAACATGTTCAGCCTAGTAAATGTTACTTTCTTCCAGTTTTTGTTTTAGGGCAGACATAATGAGTGAGGTGATTAGGGGACGCAGCGAGAGCTTGTACCCTTGTGAAACGGGGAGTGCAGAGACTGAGAGGTGGGGGAAGTTTGGTGAGGGGGCTCTGTGGGGCCTGAAAGGACACGGAAAAGAGTGAGACAGCACACATGACCAAACACRACATACAAGAACAAGAACACAAAGCTCTGACATGCCGCAGGACCTCGCGACTCTGACACCATGAGCTGAATCTAAAAAATTAATTAAAAAAAAACAGCCAAACAGATCGCAAAACTGCAGCAGCAGACACATCTGGAACAAAAAGTAAATAAAATGTCAAACGATCGGCACTAATGCATCTAAAAACAAAAGATAAAGGCTTTCTAAATTAACTGCATCGATTCAAAAATAACAAAAACAAAAYAAACTACAAAGCAGTTATTCCTAACACATCAAACTACATTAACACGTAAAAGCAGCCTGTTTGTTTTCACATGCTATGGGAAGAACTGCAATGTTACATTTTCCACACAGACGTACTGACGAGGTAAAACGTGCAYATAGGTGAGATAAATGAAATATCTATGCTATGATTTTTTTCGGTTTTTAATATCCCAGGTTAAAAGCTGCATGCGTTTACTTCCAGTGGCACACGTGGGTTACCTTTGCCTGCCTCTATAGTGGGCTGAATAAGAGCTTTGAGGAAAAGAGACAGAGAAATACATAAGAAGTGTGAGATACTGAGCAAAAACAGTGCTCATTTCTAACAGTTACTACTGCCTTTAACCTCTGAAGCCCCAAGTAGTTTTCTGGATGTTTTTGCTTGAAATACCATGCCAAAATGTAAYTGAGTGTTTCTCTGCATTTACAAACTCTACTTAAATAACCTTGATATCAAAATAAAGTAACACCTGGGAGATTTCATCAGAAGTGTAAGTATTAAAACAGCTGCTGTGGTTTTAGAGATATTGGGGATGGAACATAACTCTTAATTTTTTTTTCACTCTCACCTAAAATGTTTTTTTTTTCCATTAGACAGTATATATCCTATTTAAAACCATAATGACTCAGGCTAAAAGCTCTTGGAAACCATAAATCCACTTGTGGACATTACCTGTGCAAAGATTAATGCTGCTAAAATTAACTGGAGCAAAGTTACAGAGGTTTTGATAAAGAAATAATTTTGCATTTTGTCATTCTGCACAGGATGGACCATGTAGGTACCATTAATAAATGTTAAGAAATCTTTTCTTAATTGCAAAATTTATTTATTTTTTCTTAACTGACTGARAAGACCTGTTATTAAATGTTTGTTCTTTTGAAAAATTATCCAAACATTTATTTGTCACCATATATATTATATAAAACTCTCTCACTCATAATCACGTGAAAAAAACTTTCAACACACTTTACAACATATTTAGGCATCTACTTTGACTTGCTTAAAAAAATTAGCGTCAAAAATATTTCCTTTACACATTTGCTTGAACGTATTTACAGATTTGCAATGACGCCATTTTGTAGTTTGTTTACTTTCTGATTCAACTGCTTGATGCTTAAACTGTGTTTGGTGAATGTAAAAATAGTTTCCATGAGCTTTTATCAAAGATTCTTAGGTTTCTATTGATACCAAACATGTCCAGGTTCAACTGACAGATAGGAAGTTGAAAGAAATAGAAAATGGAAAAAAAATGTTTTGCCCCCGATACCGGGGGCATGGGGCTCAAGAGGTTAAAGATGTTGGTGGAATGATTAAACAATAAGACTAAACCAAAYGTGTCTCACTTATATCCATGGCTGTGTAGGCCTCTTCTGTTATATTAGGTCCGGGACCCTTGACTGTCGTTGCGCTTAAGTAAAACTTGTAGAGCACGCTGGTGTTCAGGCTGCCCAGCGTGAACGTCGTCTCGTTGGCTTTCAGGTTGATAGCCCTCAGTGGTTCCAGCTCACTCGTCGTGTTGACTGTTGAAGGAACAAGAAGCGCTGATGAGAGCCAGAATGAAAATCAGTGGAAGATAAAGGTGCTAGCTTTACCTGGTTGGTATCTGAGGGTGTACCCTGTGAGGCGGCCATTGTTGCTAACCGGTGGGCCCCAGTTCAGAGTGACAGAGTCCAAACCAGGGTTGATCACACTCAGAAAAGAAGGAGGACCTGGAACTAAAAAAAACATGTTCACTGTCTAAAAGAAGTGCTATAATTTAGCTTTAATTCCTCTAAAAATGATCTAACGCGTACCTCCTTCAGGTGTTTCAAAAGTCTTGCTGGAACTGGGCGGTCCTTCTCCCTTGCTGTTGAGGACCCTGATGAAGACGCTGTATAGGCTGTAAGGATGAAGGCCCGGCAGCATCCCCTCACTACGGTTCCCACTGAAAGTCAAAACTCGCTCCTGCTGATCTCCTTCGCCCGCCTCCTGCAGGCCACGCTCCCGGCGGTAGTACACCTTAAAGGGGACGCACAGAAAGCTGAAGCCTGATTCGTTRCAAACACTGACCCACAGATAGAAACATGCTTACCTTGTATCCTTGCAACTCTCCTTGAACAGAAGCAGTAGAAACGGGCTCCCAGTGAACTTTGGCCAGTGTGGTGTTATGAATCATGACCTGCACGTTGTCAGGAGCAGACAGAGGCACTGCAGAGCACAGATATCACACTGTTATTAAGATGCATAAACACTCATTTTATACTAAATTAACTTGCTTTAATGTTTCTGATCTAAACAATTTTGCTCACAGTCCTCTCCGGAGTGACCAGTCACTACTTGGGGTTCAGGGCCGTTGCCGTAATCATTAAAAGCCTGAACTTTTATTTCATACGGCACATAGGTTGGAGTTCCAGAGACGACCAGCTGAGAAGAGTTCGCAACATTTTTTGACGTCCAGTCCTTTTCCAAGTCCTTCTGTCTCCAATGGACTTTGTATTCCAGACCGGGTCCGTTAGACTGGAATCCTGTTAGTGGCTGCATGGAGAGAGGGGAAAATATACAGCTCGGTATGAGATGGGAACCAAGGCTGTCTGCTTCACAGTAAAATGTTTTATGTTCGATATTTATGCCTGACGTCATGTTGAACAGTAAACTCTGTCTAAGGAACACCTGTCAGTGCATGTCGCTTATAGTATAGTTTTGTATGTCAAGCATTTTTAGTGAGAAAGTTTTCTTTATTCAAAAAATTTTGTGTCATAAATAGGCCTGTCGCGATAGTCAATAAATCAATTAATCGCACGATAACTTTTTTTGAGGTMGGTAAAAAAAAGACGCCGATAAGTTTCATTTTCCTGCTTGTTTGTTTACTTCGTCTCTCTGCTCCGCTGCACAGGATGAGCTCCTGTGAAGAGCTCCTGCAGCTGACCCCTCCCCTCCTGTTTTCTTAGTGTGGGAGGAGCGAACTGTCGCTTTAGCG